TCATGTGAGCTCCATGAGAATCAGAGGACATCTTGCCTATCTTGCTCACCTTTAAATTCCTATGACCTAGAACAGTTCTTGGCACATAGTGGGCTCTTGATAGATACATAATGAATGAAAGACTGAGGCACAGAATGGCTCTCATTAAATATTTATTGAATAAAGGAACAAATGAATTTCATTAATATCACTTAGAGTGAGGTTAGGTGAGCAAAGAGTTTGGCAAGTGGATTTTGTGTGTATTGGCTGAGGTATCCTTTGCTCATTGCTCTTCTCTGTAGGGAAGAAAAGAATTTTTTTCTTGACATCTTTAAGGTTCTTGGCTGGGTATGAAAATTAAGCTGACATAGATTTAAAAGAGAAAAGCATACAAATTTATGTAATGTAAGTTTTATATGATATGGGAGACTTCATAAGGAAATGAAGATTTCAAGAAATGGTTAAACCTGAGTATTTTTTTTTTAAACCTGAGTATTTTTATGCTAAGTTTGATGAAGAGTGAACAGTTGTGTAGAAATATGAAAGGACAAAGAGTATGAAGTAATGTAGTAATTTTGGGGGAACTTAGTAAGGCCTATTTGTTCAGATTCTTCTTGTGTCCTTTTGTCTTTGGAGATGAGGATGCTCCTTTCTCCTGGGTTTAGGAGGGCATCTCTCTCAGGAGGGCATCTCTCTCAGGAGGGTTTTGATGACTTGTTTCATGGGAGAAGGGGGAGCAGAAAAGTTCAGAGTAATCTTCTGTTTCTGCTGTTTTCTCAAATTACCCCAGCTTAAAATATTCAATATGCCAAGGTGCCATATTTTGGGGGTGCTGTGTCCTGAACCCCATCATTCTTAAATCTTTGTAAAGTAACACTTATTGAAGCCTGGCAGGTGAAAATAAACTTCCATCTGTGGAGATATTGTTATATTTGCTTTCTTCTACCTCAGTTCTTGGACCCTTATTTCTCTTCCCCAGTAATTTTTAATTATCTGTCTTAAGATGAGGAAAGCCTTTGGTTTGCTTGGATTTTCTCCATTAAAAACTCCACCAATGAGNGACGGTGGTGATCTGAGGAGTTTGTAATAATAACTCACCTCCAAGTGAGCCATTGAGACACTTTCTATGCCTGCCACACAGTGTCTGGAATGTAATGGCATTCTGAAAATATTTGTGGGATAAGTGAGCAAATGAATGAATGATACTACATTCTATAATCACAATGCTAAAAAACAAAATTCAGCTGAGTACATTTTAAAGATCTTATTGGATTTATGCAATGATTCATGAATTGGGTAGTATTCTGTCTATCAGAGAGGAAGGAGCTTCTAGGAGCTGTACAAAATGAAGGATCTTTATAGTCAGGAGTGAACGGGAATGAGGAAGTTATACTAGACAAAGAGAGGTTGGTTTTGGCAAAATCACTTTCCTTTAGGGGATTGTAGGGGTTTATCAGGCAGATTACCTAACTGGTACTGATTACATGATCCTGACTGACTGGTTTAAGATTCCATTTCTGGGAAAGTAAAAACTGTGATCTTAAGTTTGGTTTGGTGACATGGGGCTTAGCATAAGTGACTCCATTTTGGGTCTATTTTCTTGTTTTTAAGGAAAATAAAAGTAGATCTGCTGTAATATTTAGTTCTTAAACTTATGTGTTTTTTTTTAAGAAAAAATGAAATTATTTTTATTTTATTACTTTTAATTTATTTTAAAAATTTATTTTTAACTGGGGATAATTGCTTTACAATGTTGTGTTGATTTCTGCTGTACAACAACATAAATCAGCTATAAGTATACAATTATCATCTTCCTCTTGAGTCTCCCTCCAGCGCCCCCATCCCAGCCCTCTACATTGTCACAGAACACTGTAATATATGGCTTTAGATTGTTTGCGTAAGAAGGTGATTGCCATTCTTGTTTTTCAATGTTTTTATTGACAGTATTCCTTCCTTTTCCATTTAGCTTCAAAACTGTAAGCTAATATAGAATTCTGAAGTCTGCAGGTAAGTGCTGGAAGAACCTTGGGAATCATAGGTTATAATGTCTGCTGAGCATTCTTTCAGTTTCCATGTAGTGTGTGTGTGCACACGGGCTTCTGAGTTCCTGTGGTTGAAAGTCTGAGAGCAGCTGGGTGACTGGCTTTTGTTTGGATACTGGTTTGATCCTTTCCTGGCTGTGTGGTCTAGGCAAGTTATTTAACCTTCCTGGGCCTCACTGAACATTTTGGCAATGGTAGTACCTTCCTTATAAGATTGTTGTGAAAGTGTAGGCAGCCAATGTATAAAGAGTATCTTTATTTTTTATCCAATACTAAGTGGCCAGTGTTGTGCAGTATTTCAAAAAGGTAGGGTTAACACATAGCCTCTTTTGTGTCACCAGGTGATCATCTTTTTCTTTTTTGGTTACGTGGCATGGCATGTAGGATCTTAGTTCCCTGACCAGAGATTGAACCCTTGCACCCTGCATTAGGAGTGCAGAGTCTTAACCACTGGACCACCTGGGAGGTCCCTAGGTGTCCATCTTTAAAGGTCTGTTCGTTCCCTGCCTAGTCCCTGAGAGTGAATCTAGCATAGACTCCTTTGCTAATAAGGATGGAATCACCTTAAAAAAGGACATCTTAAAAGGGTAACAGCAAGTAGTATAACTTTTAAATATCATATAGTAAACAAACAAGTGGAAACTCCTCTTCTGTGAATTCTTAGGCATGTTAGCTTTAAAGTTAATTTCTTGGGGGCATAACTAGAGAATCTGATTTTATCAATCAACTTTCCAAAATCTTACACTGCTCTGTCATTACATGATGAATATATATTTTTGCTTTTTTAATTATAAAAGTTAACTATAGGGAACTTCAGGAGCAGAAATGTGAAAAGGAAAAATTAAAAGGGCCTGTAATTTCCCAATCCAGAGATATTGGAGTATATTTTTCCATAATTTCTCTTTATTTATCTCTGTATATTGACTGCTGCTGCTGCTAAGTCACTTCATATGTGATTAAAATCTACATACTGTTTTTTGACATTTTTTCATTGAATACATCATGAATATATTTCCATCATTAAATGCTATGGTGACCCCTTTATGTGTGTTAATTCACACTAACATATGTGATTGAGAAAGATTTTTCAATTAGGATGTGTGACTTAGCTTCCCAATGTTAAAAGAAGGGAAAAACTAGATTCCTGTATTTAGTTCTGTCTGAGATTATCCTTTAATTCTACAGATATATCTTGGGTACCAACAATGTGCCCAATACTATAAAAGCATGAGTCAGGCTCTGTCTTCTCAAAGAGTTCACAGCCTGATGGTAAGAGTAACACAGAGGCAGTTAATGAGGCACGGATGTAAAGAATGAACTTGTGGACATGGGCTGGGGGCAGAAAGAGAGCTGGAGACAAACTGAGAAAGAAGCATTGACATATATACACGACTATGTGGAGAGTAGACAGCCAGTGGGAAGCTGCTATATAGCAGAGAGCAAACAGTTCAGTGCTCTGTGATGACCAAGAGGGGTGGAATGGGATGGTGAAAGGGAAGCTCAAGAGGGGGTGAGTATATGTATACACATGGCTGATTCACAATGGTTTTGCAGCAGAAACGAACACAGCATTTATTAATAAAGCAATATCCTCCAATTAAATAATAGAGTGGCTAACAGGAAGCGAAACAGAAAGGCAAAGAGTTTACCTCTGTGTGGGGCTGTTGGTGCTGGTGGCTTAGTCGCTAACTAGTGTCCAATTCTTGCGACCTCGTGAACTGTAGCCTGCCAAGCTCCTTTGTCCATGGGATTCTCCAGGCAAGAACAGTGGAGTGGGTTGGCATTTCCTTCTCCACGGGATCTTCCCAACCCAGGAATCAAACCCAGGTCTCCTCCATTGAAGGCAGATTCTTTACCATGTGGAGCTGTTAGAGGTTTCACAAAAGTAAGTTGCTAATCTTTATGAGAAGATTTATATGATGGGAATCTTGAGGTATGGCTCAGGGTGTGTTCCTACAAAGAGAACAGCCAAAGCCTGGGTTAAGTAGCAGAGAAAGAAGTATTCACAAGTCATCTCATTGCTTTCAGTTTAGAACAACCCGGTTTAGAGCAGTTTTTATCACTTTCTCTCATACAGTACCACTTAGAATTACTTGCTTTATTAGCCTTATGAGTAAACATTGAGTTGTTAAAGAATGACCAAAGTAAGACTATTTATAGAGACCAAGGCACATTGAGGTATCCTAATGATCTGAGACAATAATACAGTTTCAATGTGATAAACTTATAAATGGGAGTCTGTATTTATCTTAGAAAACAATTAGGTCTCAAATTCTGAGATTCAAAAAATTACCTAGCCAACACTTTAATGCTGTGGTCTTGCTCTTAGATTATTTAGAATTCAATTTTTTGTGTGTACCGAAACCACCCCATGGTAGCAAACTAGCTATGTTCTAATAATTCCTGAGGTTATTACAGTACTATTTCTCAGCAGATAATGCACTGAAGTGTTCATTTTCCAGATCAAGGATATTTAAGCTGCAATAGTGTCCACCATGAGTTTCAGGTTATTATAATGTCATTAAAATAAATTCTAAGAATATACCTACTTGTAAAATTCTAATTAGTGTGATTACTGTGGAACTGGAAATTGTTCTTTTAAAAAAAATATAAGAACTTATTTTGGAAAATAATCAATGGTAGAATAAGAAACTACCAAACTAGCCATTCAGTATGATAAAATACCATTCCCTCGTATTCTGCTGAATATCTTATTTGTCAGGTTCAAAGATAGAACATTGAAGATTACTTTGCAGAATTTTTCTAAGAAAAGCATGATATAAATAAGTCCAAAGCAACAAAGGAAAGGGGAAAAAAATCTAAGAAATATAGACGAATGAGCCAAATTAGAACCATTAAGAACTGATTTGGAATTTAGTTAGAATTATATTAACCCTAAGTTTCTGTCCTGAAGTTTTGAATAGTAATAAAGAATGATTCAAGAATGAAAAAAGACGGTGGTGCGGCCGGCGGGCAGCGATGGCGGCCGTACGCGGCCTGCGAGTGTCGGTGAAGGCGGAGGCCCCGGCGGGGCCGGCCTTGGGGCTCCCGTCGCCTGAAGCGGGTTTGGACCTAGGCGAACCGGAGCCCATGGAGGTGGAGGAGGGCGAACTGGAGGTCGTGCCGGTTCGGCGCTCGCTGAAGGAACTGATCCCGTTCTACCAGTTTGTTGCTACCAACCCATCTCCCTCCACCCTCGTGCACACATGCTCAGTCATGCAACCCCATGGACTTCAGCCCGCCAGACTCCTCTGTCCATGGATTTTTCCAGGCCACAAGCATTAGATATGAAAACAAGGCTGGCAGCTTCATCACCGGAATTGATGTCACCTCCAAGGAAGCGATTGAAAAGAAGGAACAGCGAGCCAAGCGCTTCCATTTTCGATCAGAAGTAAATCTTGCCCAAAGAAATGTAGCCTTGGACAGAGACATGATGAAGAAAGCAATCCCCAAAGTGAGACTGGAGACAATCTACATTTGCGGAGTAGATGAGATGAGCACCCAGGATGTCTTTTCCTATTTTAAAGAATATCCTCCGGCTCACATCGAGTGGTTGGATGATACCTCCTGTAATGTGGTTTGGTTGGATGAAATGATGGCTGCGAGAGCCCTTATCAATATGAGTTCTCTGCCAGCCCTGGATAAGATAAGAAGCAAGGATGCCAATGAGGACAAGTCATCCGAGAAAAGTAAAAAAGACAAGCAGGAAGACAGTTCTGATGACGATGAGGCTGAAGAAGAAGATGAAGATGAGAACTCAAGTGATGTAGAGTTGGACACGTTGTCGCAGGTAGAAGAAGAGTCTCTGCTAAGAAACGACCTTCGTCCAGCTAACAAACTTGCTAAAGGAAATAGGTTATTCATGAGATTTGCTACAAAAGATGACAAAAAGGAACTTGGAGCAGCAAGGAGAAGTCAGTATTACATGAAATATGGGAATCCAAATTACGGAGGCATGAAAGGAATTCTTAGTAACTCTTGGAAGCGGAGATACCATTCCCGTCGCATTCAGCGGGATGTTATTAAGAAGAGAGCCCTGATTGGGGACGATGTTGGCCTGACGTCCTATAAACACCGACATTCTGGACTGGTGCACGTTCCTGAGGAGCCTATTGAGGAGGAGGAGGAGGAGGAGGAGGACCAGGACATGGATGCCGAGGACAGGGTGGTGGTGGAGTGCCACGAAGAGCCCGCGGCCCGCAGGCAGGCCCGGGAGCGGAGCGTGTCCAGGCGGTCCAGTGCCAGCAGCTCAGACTCTGATGAGATGGACTATGATCTAGAGCTGAAGATGATTTCCACTCCTTCGCCAAAGAAGAGCATGAAAATGACCATGTATGCTGATGAGGTGGAATCTCAGTTGAAAAATATCAGGAACTCCATGAGGGCAGATACTTTATCCACAAGCAATATAAAAAACCGAATTGGTAACAAATTACCAGCTGAGAAATTTGCAGATGTCAGACATTTGTTAGATGAAAAACGTCAGCACACACGTCCACGGCCAGCTGGCAGCAGCACTAAAACAGATATACGCCAGCGATTAGGAAAAAGACCATATTCTCCAGAAAAGGCTTTCAGTAGTAATCCAGTTGTTCGGAGAGAGCCCTTTTCTGATGTACATAGTAGGCTGGGTGTTCCCAGGCAGGATGTTAAAGGCCTCTACTCTGATACTCGAGAGAAGAAGTCAGGTAGTTTATGGACTCGCTTAGGATCTGCACCCAAGACCAAAGAAAAGAACATGAAGAAAGGGGATCACAGGGCGCCGGGCACAGAGGAAGATGACTCGGAGCTGCAGAGGGCATGGGGGGCTCTGATTAAGGAGAAGGAACAGTCTCGCCAAAAGAAGAGCCGCTTAGATAACTTGCCATCTCTCCAGATCGAAGTCAGTCGGGAAAGCAGCTCTGGCTCAGAGGCTGAGTCCTGATGCCCTGGGGGCCGAGGCGGCCACCCTGAAACCTGACAGTCTTGCGTAGGGCGGGGCGCACAGTAGGACCCCCCCTCGGGAGTTGGCGCCCCTCCCCTCTTGCTCATGCAGTCACCCTCCGCTCTTGCTACTTCAGCAAGACGTCTTAGGAAACGTGACCTGTTTTGAAGGGCATCCATCTAATCTTTTTGCTGCAGTTACAATTCTGGGCCCTCCATTCTTTTCCCACCACCCCACAAGCTTTACCCATTGAGGAAAAGGCAGCCCTCCAGATTTTGTAGACATTTTTTTCGTAATATTTTTAACATTATGTCTTTTAAGAGAAAAGTTTTACACAGTTCATCCAAAGAGCAGAGAACTGAACTTCTCACTATTGCCTTGGCCCTGACAGCTTTACCAGCACCCTTTTTCCAAGAAAAGTCAATTCCCAGGTGCTTATCGGACAGCCTTCGAGAGGAAAAGACTGGGGAAGCTGCCAGCTCACCCTTCCAGGATTCTGGCGTGGGGCCTGACTCACATGGACCTGACCTCAGAGGTGCAGCTGTGCCGCCCGGGTAGATCAGAGCCGCAGCCCCGACCGCCCTTCGTTCCTCCCCGGGGATCTCTGTCAGGAGCCTCGTTAGCAATCAGCTTGAAGTGAGGATCAAGTTCAGTGCTGTGGGGTTTTTAGGAACAAAAAACTGTGACTTCTGGATTTGGGGTGGATTTTCGTGCTAGGGGTGGGGTCATGGGTTAATGTTGAACAATTTGTAAGTCTGTATTATGTTTAAAAAATATTGATGATTTGAAAGTTTAAATTTTTAATTTTTATATGTTAAAATACTTCCTGTTAGCCTCCAGGGAAGCTCAAGTGGTGTCTTATGTGCTGTTAAATATATATTATATACTTTGGAAGAAAAAAAAAAAGGAATGAAAAAAAAAGTATTTTTAAGAAAATAATTATCAGTTATTTTAGAAACAGTAAATACCAACAAATTATTTACAGATGTTTATCAGTAAGCTGCTTTCACAGAACTACACATATCAGACAACCCCAAAACTCAGCAGTGTATGACAGGAAGAATTTATTTCTCATTCATCTGGCAAGTTCTGGGCATTCAGCTGTTTTCAGAGAAGATTGAGAAGGATTGTATTTAGATTATAGGTTTGTGTCTACTCCATGTGCCTTTTGCTCTTTGTAAACCCACAGGCTGCCCACGATATGCCTTTCTCTTGGCAATGACAGAAATGCCAGAAACCAAACATCAGTGGGTTTAACTCTGTTTTACTTTGGGCAAGAAGACACACTACATCCTGGTGTTAAGAGCACACATGATGACTCTGGCTAGATTCAAATCCCAATTCCCCACGTACTCTTTGGCCTTGCTAAGAAACTTCAAAAGGGGATAGCTTATAAAATGTAGATACATTCCTCTCATGCTTTAAATAGCTATGTATGTACTTGGAACACTTTGCCATTATTACTATACTCTCAGAGTAGGTTCTGTAGGAATCTCCAGAATGTCATAGCTTATCCTCTAAGTCCCACAGATCATAAGCTCTTTGGGTAATGGTTTCTTTCTTGCCTCCCTGTGATTACAGAAAAGAGATGACTGACCAGTTGACTGATAGTGTTAGGAGGTATAAGGGCAGCTAGAAGACAGTAAAGTTGTTGCACCTTTGAAGTTAGTGAGACCTCCATGAAAGCCAACCTCCAACTCTAAGTCAGTATTGACCTGAAAAATTACACTCACAACATGAAGGATGACACATCTCCTGAGATGCTATGGCCCCAGAGTGTCTACGTGACAGAACAAAATAATAAGTATTTTCTTTAAATGGATGACATTGGTTAAAAACTCAAATGGCCAGTGTAAATCTCTCATCACTCATGCAAAATCCAAATAAAGCACATTTCTCACTGACTCTGAGTCACAGTAGCTTAGAGATAAAAATCAGCATTTGAATGACACCCGTAAGACTGGACGTGCTTCCCAGGGGGCGCTGTGTGTGCCTAGTCATTCAGTCATGTCCCGCTCTTGGTGACCCAAGGACTGTCCATGGAACTGCAGGCAGATTCTTTACCCTCTGAGCTACCAGGGAGGGAAGCCCTCCAGGTGGCGCTAGTGGTAAAGAATCTGCCTGCCAACACAGGAGACCCAGAGATGTGTGTTTGATCCCTGGGCTGGGAAGATCCCCTGGAGTAGGAAATGGCAACACACTTTAGTATTCTTGCCTGGAAAATCCCATTGACAGAGGAGGCTGGCAGGCTACAGTCAATCCATGGGTCCCAAAGAGTTGGACACAACTTTGGAATTGAGCATGCATGCATACTTTTGTGCTATTAATAATATTTATTATCTGGCCCTTTCAGAAAGTTTACCAACCTCTCAATAAAAATAAATGGAAAAAAAAAAAAAGAAAGTTTACCAACCTCTGATTTAAATAGTGGGTTTTGGTATAAGTTAATTCCTTTGTTAATTAGATCGGTTAACTATGTTTTTTCTCAAATAGTTTTTGAAAAAATAGATGCAACCTAACAGTCAAGTGGACCTTAGGAAGCATCATTACAAACAAAGCTAGTGGAGGTGATGGAATTCCAGTTGAAGCTATTTCAAATCCTGAAAGATGATGCTATGAAAGTGCTGCACTCAATATGCCAGCAAATTTGGAAAACTCAGCAGTGGCCACAGGACTGGAAAAGGTCAGTTTTCATTC